GCTGAAAATCAGCACCTCGATGCTGAAAATCAGCACCTCGACGGTCATTTCCCATGCTCATCTCCTCTCTAGAGAGTGGCTCTAGAGGTGGCATGTCGTCGTCCCTTTCAAGAATCTCCACCTCCGGATTCCTCCTCCCCCGGATTGGGTTTGGATTTCCTCCTACTCCATGGCCGTCAGTAGTCTCTTTCACTTCCGATGTCTCCGGATTGGTCTTCATCTCCAATAGTTTCTTCATCATTTCTTCCATAGCCGCGAACCTCCCTTCCAACCTGTCATTGTTGGTGGAGATTTCCAGGAACTTTCCCTCCAGATCTGTCTTCAGTTGTCCGAACTCGCCTTCTAATACTTCCACCTTCTTTCCGGCCATCTTTCTTCTAACGGATCCCAAAAAATCTTCTTCCGGAAAAGATAAACTTGCTGAAATTTCAGAATTTCAGCCGCCGGTGGTCCCAAATAGATGCTCTGATACCAATTTGATAGGAAATACTTGATTTCAAGTATTTCCTAATCACTTTAGCAACAAATCTCAAAGCGGACTGCTGTCCACAGCAGGAAATCAGCCAAAAACAGTAGAAAAGTAGAGGAAAACTGCAGGAGATGAGGAGAAAACACTTGTATTTTACTAGTAGACAATGAAAATAGCAAAGATACAATTTGTTCTTCAATCCGAGAGGAAGAACAACTCTCCAAAGTTCTCCGGCGAAGCCAAGAGCCCAAGCACACAAACCCTAGATCTCAAAAGAGAATTCAAATTCAAGATGAGGAGCTAATTCCCCCCAGCTCCTAATTATACAAAATTAATCATAAAGGACAATCATAAACTTCCTAAAACAGCCTCTCACGTTCAAAATTTCCCTCCTAAACTCCCCGTCTCAAGCCCACGTGGACTCACGGTTCCGCCCCCTTGCTGCCGTTTCCGCCCAGGCGTCTCGCATAGACACGGACCGGTCCCTGTTGGACCGGTCCAACCGGCTCATCCTGGGCCGGTCTAACAGAAACATGGCCAACATTTGTGTCAAATAAAGGATACACCTTTTATAGCACTAAATAAAAAAGAATAAAGGATATAGAATGAGAAAACTACAAATATTTATGACGATGCTGATTGTGATGGTGATGATTTTTCATTTGAAATTATATACCACAAATTTTTCTTTATCATGGCACTCAAATAACCTCAATTAACGTTGGTTGAGTTAGTCTTAACCATGATCAAGGCAAGCAATGAACCATATATTAATTTAAGTAGTATATTATAGCATATGAAATTGAAACATATTGGTGCTTTTCTAAATTTCCTCATCGCAATTGATCTGTAACTGGCGGTGACAATGCTTCTTTGACCTTATCCTATTATTTTGGAAGGAACTTTACAACCTTCTCAAACTCCCTTTGTCCACATCAATATTTTGATGGGACTGATTGTGTGGATAACTCTTGCTCTTTCACCACATAAGGTCATCAATGACTGTTATCAGGACTGAGGGAGGAGTCTCCAGGTTCTTATGACCCATCATGAGTTTCAATATGTTGGTACACATGAAAGAACCTTGCTGCTTCAAGGCCCGTGGCCAGCCGTGCCGGCTGTGCTAAAGCGAATAAAGGAGCTACTTACTTTTGAAGCCTTTTTGGACTGCATATTCATGCTTCCACAGCACTAGTTACATTGCCATTTGCTGATGTACAGCAAGGAACCTTTGTGTACTGCTGCTTATTCCTGCCTCTCGTCAACATAGGTTTGTTCTGCTGCATTGCTTTGTTGGGGGAGCTTGGTAGGGAATAGTAATGAATAGATTGTAGGTAACATCATTATGATTTCATTGGTAAAAGCCTTGAAGGGCATCAGTTTATTCTCGAAGATTCGAAAGAACACAAAGGTGAAGAAAAGAAGCAAGCAACGAAAAGTGGTAGTATCAAACACTGAAAATTCCAAAAAGGCAGCAGCCCGAAAGAAGGATATATAAGTATATACAAGAAAAGGGACATGATAGTATATACTTGAGCGCGCAAGTAAGTATTTGATATCGAATTTACTTGAGTTCGCAAGTAAACCTAACAATAATCGGTAAAACACGAGAAAAAAATGAAGAAATTATGGTGGAATAACAATCAAACAATAACAAATCTTATAGAAAGCTTAAGCGAAATAAGAACAAAGCAAAGACACAAGAGATCCTCAATTTGAGAGGAGGATCGTCTCTCCCAAATCTCTAGACAAGAGAGTCTAGAGCCCAAGCCGCTAAGAAACCCTAATTGAGAATCAATCAAAACATAATCCTCCCTAATCCTCTCATCCTCTTTAATACAAAAGTTTTCCCTAATCTAATTTCTCTTCCAAGCCCTAGCTGCCCCCTCCTTTTCAATTTGAAATCCCTTGGACAAGTGGGGCCCACCCCTTTGGGCGGAACGGACCAAAGGAGGCGGACTGTTTCCGCCTTATGTACACAAGCAAGGGCCAGCTGGGCCGGTTCAGGATGAACCGGCCTATCATAACAACAACAATACTATAAAATATTGAAGTCCAAAAACTAAGCAGGATGGACTCAGTATGCAAGCACATGCATCGTCCAACAAGTTTAGATATAATCAAGTGCAGTATCATGTGAATTATCTGTAAGAGAAGAATTGGGGCAGCAAAATCTTATCAAGCAGGGTTATGCTTGAAGCATTGTTGCCCAAACAACTGCAAAAAATGGTCTCATCGCTGAAAATAAGCTGCAAGAGAAGTGAAAGGAAATTAGCCTGAGAGGTACCATTCCAATCCTGGCCAAACGAGGTGAAAAATAAAAACAGAAGCCAACATCATTTGGAACCAATTCCACATATCACAGCTAAATAATACATTCTAGGTTTCTAATATGTGTCGAAGGGACCGAGACAACTAATTTAAAAAGAAGATATCTATGGCGTTATCCTAGCGTTTAAATAGTTTCCATTGACTCACATTTAATCTGACCTGCTACTTGATCACACTTTTAAGGTTTGCAGTGTCCTTAGAAGTATTGTTATGAACTCTATTGTTTCTTTCAAACTAAATATTAACAATGATAACACCAACTACCAACAGATAAAGCTTTTGCATCATCTTGTTAGTGTGGTGAAATTTGCTGACTTTTAGAGCCTAGACGATGGATTCTGAAAATAGAGGGGCTATATTGCATTTCGTGAAACATAAGAATCTAATATGCAATTAGCTTCTCTAAAGATGAAGGATTCTGAAAATAGAGGGGCTAAATTGCATCTTGTGAGACATAATAATTTAACATGCAATTAGCTTCTCGAAAATAGAGATCTTAGTTATTGTTGTAAAACAAAAAGCTGAATGCACTTTGCCATCTTGATTTCTTTGTGCTAGCATGTCAATGACTACTGATTTTCATCTTTTATTGGGTTGAGTATTTGAAGGTCCAAAGTGATCAGAAGCTGAGACGTGTTATTAACAATGTGCATTCTATTTAGCTTTATTCTCGCTAAATTTATCTGAAAAAGATCCTTATCCAATTAATTTTTCCAATAGATGTTAAAAATAGTAGCGGATCAGGCTCTAGTCGTTCATCCGTGTCGAAGGAAGAGGACGAAAATATAACCGCCGGGAGCTCTGTTCAATCCTCAAAACAGATGAGTCACAATGATGTTATGCAAGTTAGTGCAGTTCTTCCTGAGGGCTTACCTAACAATGGGACAGATGAAAAACATAACTCCAATCAGAAAAGTCAAGTTTCAAGGGATTATAAAAATTTAGAAGTCAAAGAGGCAAGGGCATTTCTTCCTAGTGGTTTTTTTGACAGAATCGACTCAAATAGTGTTGGCCAAGCTAAACAACTCAGCCAACAATCAGAAAAGCCGGACATAGTGCAACTCAAACAAGTTAAAGAAGCATTACCTGAAGGTTTCTTTGATAACAAGGATGAAGATTTGAGAGCACGTGGCATAGAACCTGTTAAAGTTGATATCGAGTAAGTTTTTTGATAGTGTATTTCTCATATTAAAGTCAATTAAGAAATGGAGAATCCATTAAAACTTGAAAGTATCACTGGGCCATTGATGCCAAATTTGTTGTCCTTATTTTCTTCTTTCTATAGATGTTTTGATTGTAAGTATGATTGTTTTGATATTTTTACTTGGAAGCCTTCCCCTGATGTTGTCGTGGAATTTTGCAGTGATGCATACAAAGAATTCGAGAGAGAAATCCAGGAGGACTTGCAGGAAGTGGATGATCGCTTGGAAGAGGAAGAGGTAAATACTTTTTCTGATTAACCTTTTATGTTCTCATTGGTTTAAAAAAGTTTAAAGAGAGTAAATGAAAATGAAATTGCTAAACTAATTTAATTAATTTTTTTTCTTACCTGTTTGCTTAAGGATAATATATATAAGGGAAATTTACATACATACCACTTTACATTCATAGGGAAATTTACAAACTTAACATATAATGATGAAAGTTTGAGTTTTTGTTTATTATAATAAGACATGCGAGTCATGATTAGTTATTTTTTATTTCCATTTTTCATTAGGGTTAGACAGTATTGTCAGAGCAAAAGTGCATTTGTTCACATTTCTTGATTAAATTCTTGAATTCAATTATCTATTGTTCACTCGTGAGTCACACTATTGACTAGAAAATTTTTTCCCACTTTTTATTGGGACTACTTTGTCAAAATTGGCAAAGAAAAGATACAGTTGTTCCACATTTATTAATTAAATTCAATTGTCCATTGTTTATAATGGAATCAAAAATCAATATAAATATATGATGTGCATTTCACCAACTCTTTCAAACCAAGCATGCACTTAATTTCATCCTTTTATTGTAAATAAAGAGGAATAGGCTTCATAATATAAGACAACTAATATATTTTGTAGCTTTCTTTTTTGTGCAATTTTGAAGTATAGTGATAGTGAAATGAATATAGATATCCAAGAATTTCAATATGAATTTTGATGCAAATAAAATCATTAAGCAAATAAATAAATTTAATAAAATTAGATTTTCAACATATCAAAATTTTATTAAAATCAACAGTAATAATTTAGCCAATTATAAAATATATAGAAGAAGTAGCAAAAAATAAAATTGTCAAAGTAGATAAAAGTAGGCCCTCTTATTAATACAAGGAGATAACTTCTCCTCTAGTCATGTAGTTGCATTTATATCTCATTCTGAAAGGAATTACATTTTTAACTTGCACTCAAATGATGAAAAAATTGAGTGTCAATTCATGCTGCATTTTGAATGAATCACACAAATTATTATCTATGAAAGCATATGATCAATCTCAATCTAAATTTAAATCATTTTAAAATTCCTTCAAAACAACCAAACTTTAACTTTTGGGTTCATTTGAGGCATTTGTAGAAATAATATATATATATATATTAAATTATTAGGAGTATTACTATGTTTTTTGAAAAAAATGAAAAGTAATTCTCTTATGACTACCCTGATTGGAAAACATTCTTTTTATTATAAAACAAAATTGAAAACTTATTTCTTTCTAAAACAGAAAATTGAAAAACTGTCAAACCTTTTTTTAATGAAAACATTTAAGTCAATTAAAATAAATTCATACACACATCATATATAGGACTTAAACTCACGACCTCTTGAACTCAAAACCTCTTAATTGATAGCCTAAATTTCCAACAAACCGACCAAAGTGAGCTGCGTACTGCCAAAGCCTTTGCTTTCAATATCTTAACTGTCGAACGCTTGCAACAATCTTGTCTGCCGGACTTATCACCATCTCCAGAAAGAAGATAACTTCAACAGCAACACGTCACCCACAAAACAGCACATGCCGCATCTTAAAACCATTCCTGTCATGCCCAAAACGGTCCCCAAAACCCGCAACAAACTATATATATATATTAATGAGTAATGCAAAAGAACCACCGCATGACGCAATTATAATTTCTGCCACTTGTATATCTGCAGATTGATGCTGCTGAGGTCAGAGAGGAGATCGAGTCCCTTGAATACAAGTGAGCTTCTCTCTCTAGATTGACTCTTTTAATTTTTTTGGTCAACTTTGAACTTTAAGCCGGTGGGTGTAATGAGTTATGAAGTATGATTTTGGACTCAACCTAATAAATGATATGAACATAAGTCAAATGATCTGATGAGTTAAGTTTGAGTTAGGCTTTGTTTGGGACGACTTTCTTCTAGTAAAAAATTAAAAATTTTATACAATAAAGCTGTTTTAAAAATCAGAAAGAAAGTCATCCCAAATGAAGTTTTTGTCTCATTATATATTTAAAATATAATAAAATTCAATGACTTAAATGTATAAAATTGTCTTATGATATCTGATATCTTATTGTTGCACCTCTAATTTCTTTATTGTCTTCATAATTATATTTAATTTCTTTCTTTTATAATATTTGATCCCCTCATGAATCAACTTAAATTTTCGAATTGAGTTTGAGCTTGTTTTTTATTTTTATTTTTGGGACATTTAGGCCAATTAACACAGACTCACACACATCGCATACACAAGACTTGAACCCAAAGACTCTTAGTCAGTAGCCTAACCTCCCAACCAACAGACCAAGATGAGCTGTATTTGAGCTTAAATTTGATTAATTAATGAAGTCCAAAGTCAAATCACGAGTGGCTCTAGTTTACTCTGACTGGTTGATGCTCTCTAACTGAATAAAAACTCTGACTCTTTGATGCTCAAACTGAATAAAAAATGGGTGTGCAGGGCATATAGGGAGAGAGTGGAAATGGTGAAGAAGAAGCTGTTAGAGGCAAAGGAATCACGCCTTGCCAGACTGCAGAGAAGTCCAGAATTTAAGGCTAAGGACTCCAGCGATGATTCATCAAGTGATGATGAGGTTGATGAAGACTTTTCGGTGGATTGGAGGGCTAAACGATTTTGACTTGTGAGCCTTTGAAATAAATGCCACCTGCTACTTGTTCTTGCCTGAAGGTTGAAGATGGTCCAGATGGATATATATATATATATTATCAGTATTGACTGTGCAGCTCAAATTTCATTGACTGTTTTGGCCTCTCTTATTTTTAAGAACTTTAGAGTCTACAGTCAGTATAAAATTTATTGAATAATCATGATGACGTGAAGATTTTTAACAGTACACAGTGAAAAAAAAAAAAGATTCAATAAAGGCTTGATATTGTTATTGGATTTTGAAGCTGGTGTTGTAATGATATATCAAAATTTTTCAGGATTTTGATATACAGAATGAGTTAGAAGAGAATTAAATTTATTTTGAGGATAATATAATTTAAAATTTTGACTTGCCTGGTTTGAAATAAATGCTACCTGCTACCTGTTTATGCCTGAAGGATGAAGATATGCATAACAATGGCACTTCTGTAAAGCATTATTTTGTTCTTTACTAATTAGCCCTTAATGATATATTATTAGATCTTAGATCTCATATATTTGTTGTTTAGATATTTTCTAATAGAAAAATAAAATAAATTTCTTGTGTTGTTATTAGTTCAATGCTATTTTATTTCTTGTTAAATTCTTTGGAAGCAAACAGAGCTATGAGTAATTAGTGCCTTGATAAATTGGTGCTTATCAGTATGTCATTGGGGCTTACATTGGGAGTTTAGGTTTTGAATCATGGCTTTGTTTGAGATAATTTTTATTTATTATTTAATAGTTTTTTAAAGAAATTTTTGGACTAAAAAGTTGCTTGCGAAAGTAGTAAGAAAACTGTCTCAAATGAAGCCTAAGAAAAAAATTATTACGTGTGGAGTGTCAGGATTCCAATCTGTGAAGACATTTTGATTTTTTTCTCTCTTGTACTCAGGGTGTGTACAAGAGGGAAAATTCAAATGTCTTCACGTGATTGGAGTACAGACTAAAAATTACGTTTGGACTTTGCATGTAATAGTTTCTTCTAAAATGATAAGTATTTGAGATATTGTATATGAGTGTGTGAGTATGATTATTATTTTTTAAAGTAGTTTTTTAATATAAAAATTAAAAATTTTGTATTAAAAAATTGCTTTAAAAAGCAGCTAGAAAGCCAACAAATGAATTGACAAAGCTATTAAATTAAAACAAATATAAATAATTCCCACATGCTATATAGGACATGAATATTTAATTCCTTAAAGATTTGGATCACTTATTATAAGTAATTTTCAAAGAATGCATGCAATGTAGCAGTGGATAAATAAATGAGAATTATGACTTTTCAAATTAAATAGCTATTATTCACTTACATGAATGTATATATTTTAAATTGAATGAAATTATATATAATAATAAAATAAAGATGAGAGAAAAGAAGATCATTCAAAAATAATTTTTTATATTTTTTTAATGGAAGAAAAATGTGAATGTAAATAAGTCAACTCTCATCTATCTTATTTATATGAGAGAAAGAGATTTTCTTAAAAGTATGAAAATAAAGAACAAGAAGAAGAGAAGAAGCTCCTTCTAAAATTTATAAAAAATAGCATTCTCATCATCTACAGCTAGAAGGCCTAATATACGAGAAATTATTTTGTGCCGAAGCCTGACGTAGAACGCCGTCCATAGACCAACCAGAATGCGTCACGTCAGCGATACCGAGCGAGCAGTACCGAGCCGTGGTGCCGAACAAAGGGGTGACGTGATGCATTCTAGTTGGTCTCCGAATGACATTCAGTGCCCGCACAGAATAATTAATCCTAATATACTAGTTGAAAGAAAATCATTAACAATATTTTTCAAAAAGATAAAAAGATCATAATACAACAACTACTATAACTTCTTAAAAAATATTAATTTTTCATTTAATAATTCTGTAGTTATTTTGATGATTTTGTGAATAGCTACACGTGCCTCAAACAACTCAAAGATCATTATAAATTCAAGGATCACTTAGAAGAACTTTATTTAAGAAAAAAATTTCTTTAAAAATTGGGTGATGAAGCACAAATTAATAAAGATAAAATTAGTATAAAAAAAAAACATTTTAGAAATAGCTTTCATAATATTTGTGAAATAAGAGTCTATTTGAGATTTTTTTTAAGTATTCATCTAGCTAATATCATATTTTTATTCGGCTATAATTTTATTGGTAATTTTTAAAAAAATTTATATGAATGTACAGTAATTTTTTACAATTAGGACTACTACTGTAATAAATTATCAATGCATCAACGACTCAATGTGTAATTTTATTTGGTTGCATGTCACTTCACACATGCATGTAATTTTAATGTTTTTCATAAACAAGTTTATGAAAGGTATTACATAAATTATAAATATTATAGGCCAAATATGATCCATCGAGCAACGTCACACGACTGTGGTCCTCTGACCATCATTGAATAATTAAGTATTATAGGCCCAACAATTCCCCCAGCCACCGTTGCTTGGCTAATGTCCTTTGACCTTCAAATTCTGACTATGTTTCTCAGACAATAGTTGCCCGACTACGATCATTTAATCATCACTGTCTCATTATGTTTCTCAAATCACTATTTCCTAATTACAATCCTTTGACCTCCAAACATTGTGTCACGACTATGGTCATTTGATCTCCATATTCCAGCTATGGCCCTCTAAGCCACACCATACCAAATTAGGAAAAAAAATAATGGACATCGGGATTTAATGTGGAAAAACTCAAATAAGAGAAAAACCACGGAGTCTTACCATACCAAGAAATGCACTATAAAAATTGGGAGAAATAAATACATATCTCATTTCTCTCTCACTCTCTCCTTGTTTCTCTTCTCACATACATAGTTCTTAATGTCTACACCTAGGAAATATAAGAGAAAGCAGGTTATAACCCCCAAGCGACGCAACCCTTTAGAAAACGAGAAAAAAAACCCTCCAGTCCCGCTCGTAGTGATACGGTGCCAGTTTAGAACGCTGCGGCGCTTGAACCACTGTCTTGATCCGCTGCAGAGCTCAAACTAGTAGTGTTGTGGCGCTCAAACTCCGTCTTGGCAGTCTGCACTTCATTAATTAGTGATGGGGCCCTCAGGAACACAATGCTGGGGCGCTGAGGTACACTACGCTAGGGCGTTGTACGGAAAAAAAAAATTCAAGGTAAACCCCCGCATCCCCAGCAAGCACAATAAACTTGAGATTCGAGGCAACAAAACATTCCAATTGATCAACAAAATCAGATTCCATACATAACACTATTGACTTTCACTCCCCTTCTTCATGTGCTCTTGCTAGTTGTAAGCTTTCTCATTTCATTGCTAATAAAAACCGGGTTAATTTACCTCTTTTATCCTGATCAAAACTATTAATATTATGCTGAAATTGAATATGACACTATTTTTGGAAAGGTTTATCTAGGCCTAGATTTAAAAACTTTATCTATGCTTATTAACTTTGATAATGGGACAATTTCTTGGAGGAAGTATATTTGGCATAAACGTTTTGTTATTAGATAATCTTCTTATTCTTGGCTTGTTAAGGTTGGGGATTTAAAACTACGGCAACTCTGATCTCTTATGATATCTCTGTGTAATCTCGGTGCACTTTTTGTGATGATAGTTTTGAAAACACCTCCATCTCTACTTTGAATGCGACTGACATACTCAAGAATTTGGTTCCTCAAGTTTCTACTTTTTTTATTGGACCAAATCTTTCTCAAAATTTTTAGTATATTGCTGAAATACAATTTCACTAAAAGACAAAAAAAAAAAAATTGGCATTTCTATCTATTTGTTGTGTGGTTTATTTTGCGTGGAAAGAAAGAAATGAGAGGAGATTTAGAAGCCGCATCAATTGCTAAAGTTTTTGAGTTTGGACTAAGATGAAGGGGGATTCTCTCATTTTTGCCTTTTTGGCCTATGGATGGCCATTTTGCAACCTTGGACAACACTACAGTTCTGAATCAAAGAAATCTCGATTTACTCATAATATTTTGTAGTCCTTAACTTATAAAACAAGGTAAAATTTTTAAAATGTCTTTTATTTACCCACTCTTAAATGATGTCTTTGTAGGAATATTTTTATTTGTTAATTATAAGTAAGCATATTTATTTTAGTGTAAAAATTATATTATGATAAAGATATTTCTTTATAAATAAATATATTTCTTTAACTTTAATTAAGCATTCGAAAATTTACAGTGTTAAAATGAGAGCTTAACATCTTAGCATTACACTAAAATGTAACAAAAAGCAAAAAAAAACTTTAGGAGACAAGAGAATTGTTATTTGGAAAATCTTTATAGGGGAAAAATCACTGAGCATAATCCAATTGTAATAATCCATTATAAAATATGAGATACAATAAAAAAACCTACATTCCTAACAATTTGAAGAAAAATATATTATTTTGGGAATAATTAATTGATTCCTATAAGATGGATTATAAAATTTAATAAAACAAATAAATAAATAAATAAATAAACTTTTCAACACATAAAAGTGGGACCAAAAAAACAAATAAAACATAAAGGTTTCAATACTTTATTTCTTCAACAACTTCCATTACATTCAACACACCTCTCTCACTAAAAAGAGGCTCATTACAACATCACCATCATAAAAATCATTAAATATCATATTCAAGCATAATAAATCTATTTTATCCAAATTTTTATCCTTAAATACAATCATTTTTCCCAATAATATGACATAAAATAAAGTAAAATAATACCCTTCATTTTCCCATGAAAATAATTTTATAATTACACCTTATGCCACATCCCCCTCCTCTGTATTTCAGGATAAAAATGTTTGGGAAGAATAGCATTATTCAATTGCAAGTAAAAAAAAAAAACTCACAATATATATATATTTAACACCTAATATTTTATATTCATTTCTTCAACACTTTAATATTTAATAATATTATTATTATATTTTTTATTTCTTCAACAACTTCCATTACATCCAACACACCTCTCTCACTAAAAAGAGGCTCATTACAACATCACCATCATAAAAATAATTAAATATCATATTCAGCATAATAAATCTATTTTATCCAAATTTTTATCCTTAAATACAATCATTTTTACCAATAATATGACATAAAATAAATTAAAATAATACCCTTCATTTTCCCATGAAAATAATTTTATAATTACACCTTATGCCACATCCCCCTCATCTGTATTTCAGGATAAAAATGTTTGGGAAGAATAGCATTATTCAATTGCAATTAAAAAAAAAAACTCACAATATATATATTTAACACCTAATATTTTATATTCATTTATTCAACACTTTAATATTTAATAATATTATTATTATATTTAAATATTAAAGTGAAATATATAAATAAATATAAAATTTTAGATTTTAAAAATATATTATGGCGCTAAGGGAACAGGGTAGCTATCAATACAATCAGACCAAGCTCCTTCTTCCTCCTTCCCCTTCACATCTCTCAGAGACCTCCAAACAGCACTGTTACACTTAAATCCGCTTCCCAATCCCAATTGCCAGATCCGATCCTTCTTCCTCACCCTCCCCTTCGCCTCTGTGTAGCCCAACTCATACCAGACGGAGCTGCTCGACGTGTTGCCGAACCTATGCAGAGCCATTCTCGACGCCTCCACCTCCTGCTCCGTCAGCCCCAAGCTCCTTTGCACGCCGTCCACCACCGCCTTGCCTCCCGCGTGCACGCAGAAGTGCTCGAAAGCGCGCCGAAACTGGGGCACATAGGAGGACGAGCCGGCGAGCTTTTTGTTCTTGGGAAGGAAGTAGGAGGCTAAAAATCGGAGCTTTTCGTCCCAGGGGAGGACGAGGAGGCCGAGGCGGGTGAGGTGGAGCTTTAAGGCGACGGCGGAGAATTCCATGACTTGTTTGGAGAGGGAGATGCCGAGATTGCCGTCGGAGTCTTCGACTTGGTAGAGGCAGCGGTAGGAGGAGTCGTGGGCGCCGGTGTGGGTGCGGAGGGCGTGGAGGAGTTCGTATTTGGGATGGGGGAGGGAGCGGCGGCGGTGGGAGGTGGGGGAGGAGAGGAGGACGGCGGCGCCGCCCATACGGAAGAGGCAGTTGGAGACGAGCATGGAGCGTTCGCGACCCATGTACCAGGCGGGGGAGGTGATGATCTCGGTGGAGACGATGAGGGCCAGGCCGGCGCTCGGGTTCGCCTGCGTCGATGAATATTTATAATTAACGCATGAGAAAAAAAAAAGGAAAAAATTTGAGCTGAAATATTTTAATACAAAATACATCAAAATAATATAAAATAAATAATTTTTTTTTTTTCAAAGAACTTAAATCGGTTTAAGGGCAACATATAAAAAATTATCAAATTTATTTTTAGATTAATGCATATGAAGAATTATTAGTATTATAATTTTTTTAAAGTAAATCTAATAACTTTAATATTGTTTTGATTATAATTTATATGAGAATATTATGATATAATTTTTATTAAAAAATGAATATATTAATGTTATAATATAAATAATCGTCAACTATATAAAAATTAATTTGCTCATTTAATTCTTTATGAAATTATTTAAATCAATATTGAAAAATTCAAATAATTAAAAATTAGACTTTAAGCTAATTGAAAATATTTTTATTTTTCATAAAAAAGTCAGTGAAACATTTTAGCCCTTATAGAAAAAGCAATTAAATCTAAATTTTTATGTCTTAAATAATATACAAATATAGAAAAATAATTTAAATTATGCACATAACTCCTCCTAAAGCATAAAATTTCTTTATTTCTTATATAATGATTATGTGGCTTAAAAAAATGCTTACAAATAAAGCTTAAGACAGTCATGTCATTCCAATTTCCAAATTCCAATGCTATCTTATCCACCGACATTGATAGATCACAAGATATGTACTTAAAATGATTATGTTAGGACTTAAATGCAAATTTGTATTAAAAATGTCAATAATTAAAAAAATTATTATGTGCGTGTATCATACTATTCGGAGATCAATCAGAACAATTCTGTTTGATCTGCGGATGTTGTCCGGTGTCTGCATAGAATAATTTTTTCAATAAATATCCGGAGGCCAACTAGAACAGTTTTGAATGATTTGAAGAGAATAATTTTTCTAATAAATGGAGCATAAAAGAGAAAATTTTGATATTAATAAAAAAATTATATTTCAGTACAAAATGAGAATGTTTAGTGAGATATGTGCTGAAAATGATAAAATTACGATCCCTAAAATGTAAATTATGTTAAAAATGTAAATAAATGGATACTTAAAGAGAAATATTTGTAAAAAATATAAAACTAAAATTATATTTTAGTACAAAATAAGTTTGCACTATCTTATAGTATAACATAATTATATTACTGTTATTATTTAAATATATTGCATTTTTTTCTAAATATTTTACTTTTTCAAATTTGAATAAAATTTTTTTATGCATTAAAGAAAGAAATTTGAAGAATTAAAGCCATATATGTTAAACATAAATAAATATATATATTATATATTTCGCCACCTGGAAAAGGTCCTTAGCGAGTCCAACTGAGATGGGCCCACAGCTGCATCCCATGCCAGAAAGATTGAAGCTCTTCACAGTGCTTCTAAGCTTATAACGGTTAACGACCATGGCGGTAAGGGAAGGCATAGGGAAGAAGCTATTGCAGTTTATGATCAGTATATCTATCTCCGTCGGATCGACGCCGGTCTTTCGCAGCACGTCGTCGACGGCGGAGAAGATAACGAGCTCCGCCTCATCGCGAGAGCCGGCGAGAGTCGGCACGGGGACGGGTTCAATATAATGGGCGGAGACGGGGAGGGCAGTCTCCTCTCCGAGACCGGACTTCTCGAGCACTCGAAGCATGAATAGACCGAGTTCGTCGCCGAGGATGAGGCGGCCGTGCTCTTCGAAGGAGGCGAAGGGGACGCGGCAGTGCCCGGGGGGCTTGAAGCAGGAGAAGTCAAGGAGGTAGACACGGCGGCGGCGGTGGAAGAGGAGGAAGGAGGCGAGGAGGAACGCGGCAAAGGTTAGGAGGAAGAGGATGGGGGAGGAGTTGGGAGGGCTGGAGGGGGAAGTTATGAGCTTTACGAAGCTGAGCTTGCTTTCCTCCATTGTTGAGTGCTTAGTTGGGAGTATGGAGCTCGGTTGTTGTGGGAATTGAGTGGAGTGTGAGGTATTTATAGAAAAAGAGAAAGAGAAAGAAAGAGATTGATGGAATAATATAAATATTATTGTAGATGGATAGAGAGAGTTGGATATGCATAATTTAAGCATGTTATTGCATTTTATAATGTTTAATTTTATTTTATTTTTATTAAATTGAATAATTTGTTTTGTAAAATTTTTTTACTAATAAATAAGATAAGAATTTTCATATATATCATTAACTTTTTATGTATTAACATGTATAATATTTAAAATTTTTTATGTTTATTTATATATCATTTAGTATATATATATATATATGATAAATTTATTTTATTTGGAGTATTTATTGGCTTAAAAAGTAAGAGAAGAAATGATAGATTTGAATATTTTAGTAAATTTGAAGAATTGAAGAAATAAATAGTGAGGATATGAGGTTGATGAAATTGAGTGGACTTTCTTCCATTGATTAAAGTAGTTGGGAGTGTAGGGATTGTCTATTGAGGCATTTGTTTGGAGGAGTTGGGAGTATTTATAAGATAAGAAGGGGATAGAGCCATAGAGGGGGTGTAATATTATAGAATACTATAAATATTTCGCCTCGCGCTGCCGCGCTCGCGCGGTTGCCCCGCGCTGCTGCCGCTCCGCTCGCGCAATCCGTTCCGTGTCGGGTCAACCCGACAACCCGCCGGGTCGGGTTCGGGTTCGGATTTTTGACCCGTTTGCCTAACCGGGTCGGGTTAGGGTCAACCCGTTTGAACCCGGGTCAGTTCCGAATCCGATCCGAACCTGACCCGTGACCCGAAATTGACACCCCTATATACAGTCTCGTAGACAGATGAGAAGTTTGATTAGATGGAACGATAGTGACAATTGAATGGAGGTCTCAAATGGTGATATATTGAAAAATTTTATTGTCATAGAAAAAGGGTACCACTGGTCCCAATTTGATATAATATTTTTCATTTTACTCAAAATAATCCAACACATGCCACTTAAGATTTCTGAATCATGCAAACAACCGTTCAAGTCGTAAAACTACTTAGAAAGCGTAGCCATAAAATTTAATGATCATGAAAAATATTGATAAAAATTCATTTTTTTTAGTAAAATGCTAAACTTCCCAAATGCAGTCTAAAATTGCAACGAGATTTTTTTTTTTTTTTTTTTTTCGGTAAAGATTATGAAAGCTTTGAAAAAAATTAAATCTCCGGTTGTTGTTTAGGGGTGTTAAAATCGGCTTTCGGGTCGAATCTGGAACACCCGAGTTCAATTGGGTTGACCCGAACTGATCCGGTTTTACAAACGAGTCGAAAACAAAAAATTGACTCAACCCTGCGAGTTTTCGAGTTGACCCGACCCAACATGATTTTGTTAACCCGAGCTCGCGTCAACGGCGCCAGTAGGCGGGCTCTCGTTGATGGCAGCAAGCTGAACGACGGGATGGTGAGCTCGTGTCGACGACAGTAGGAGGAACGACGTGGCTTGCGTGGACTACATGTAGCGAGGCTAGCGCGGGATGGTGCTCTTAGCGCAACTACTCGTTGGACTGCAGACAGAACGGCGAGCATAGCGGGTTGACAAGTGACGAATGCACGCAACTGAAGTCTCGAGAGAACGGACGGGATGGATCATGAATGCGACTAGCACGTTTTTCCAAACGGGTTGAAATCAGGTTGATTTCGGGTTTCTGAGTCAACCCAAACCCTGCTCATTTTTTCAAACAGATTGAATCTGGGAACTCGAATCTAGCTCGTTTTAAAATCGAGTCGGGTCTAACCCAAAATTTTTGGGCCCAATTAGAATAAAAATTTTATGTCGTGTCAAATATTGATACCCTTATTATTATTTAGCGTAAAAATGTAAATTTAAAATACAAAAAAAAAATCACAAATATTAAAAATAATTTGAAAACTATTTATCTATTGTATTAAATAGGTATAACCCAAATGATTTATAAATTTGATGGGTTGGATGTTTGAGTGGAGCAATGACGTAATGCATGAGGTGAACTGCTTAACTGTTGCCCGCCTTCCTTGACTTGACAAGCAACCTGTAAATAAATGTACCAATTAATAACTGTGTGTTGCAGGAGTAACAGCATCTTATTCCTTTTGGTAGCAAGGCAGGTTAGGGGATTCCAGGTGGAACAACGAGAGGAAGTTATTCGCTTAGATCATCTCCAATCGAACGTCAAACGAATGTTTGGCGTCGTTAGGTCGCTCCAGCCAAACGCCAAAACGTCCGCCATTTGATTGCGGGTGAATAGTGCAACGCCAATATTGGCGTTGCACTGTTCACCCACACTATTTTTCTCTCTCAATTGGAAAAACGCGCCAAAGGAGAAGGATTGTTACCTTCGCGCAGAAGCAAAAAAATGGCATTCGATTGGAGCAGCACCACGCCATTTTTGCCTTTTGCGGTATTTTGGCGTGAAAAATGGAGTTCTCCGTTGGAGATGCTCTAAAATCGAAAATTTTATTTTACGCTTTAAAATGCAGTAAAATTTTAAAATACAATAATTAACTTCAATCGAGCTCCATTTCTTTTTCCTCTTTCATGGAGCTTCTTCATCTCGCTGCGAAAGTAATCATTTTTCTCCTCTTTCACGTGCTTCTTCACCTACTGAATTTTGGGGTGTGATTTAGCGTTCAGATGGAGCGAATGATGGAAGGCATATCACCGTATGAAGTTCGGTTAGAGATGATCATAATCAACAAGCCACATCTAAATCCGCGTGATCTGAATTTTAATTATTACATCGATCAATATCGTAAAAGTCAAATTCTATCGAGATTTTAGCTTGGAGATTGAAGATCACACAAAAATTAAGACTTCCTTTTAGCTCGAAGATTGATGATTGCTCAAAGAGTAATTGGGATTGGAAATTTTTTTTTTTTACTGTTTTATACAACAATTTTCTAGCACAAAATTTCTTAAAAGCAGTAAAAAAAAATAGTGATAAAAGTTGTTCCAAACGAAGCATGAAGTGATTTTCAACTAAGTCTTAAGCCAAAATTTTTGAACGGTCTAATTTTTAGCTGATTTCGATCTGAGTGGATCGGCCTTGTTAAGCTCTAAATTTAATCGAAAATATTTTTTGCTTTGCAAAAGAAAGTTAATTTTTATTTATATATAATATAATTTTGAAGAATTTTAGAAGCAATGTTTGCTTGCTTGAGTTATATGCTGTGTGCTTGTAATCTGATGGTTTGGGTTTGACAATTGTTTTAAGTCGAAATTAAAACAAGCTTGATCGACCTCGTGTCAATTGCTTGAGCTGGCTTGAAATCAAATGAATTGATCCATGATTCGATTTCGACTCATGGACCAATCCATTGACATGATTTCAAGGTGATCGCAGATCTATTTGAAATTGATCTTTTATAGCCCTAATCAAGAGTGGTTGAACCAAATTGACTAAAAATATAATAAATATAGAGAGTTGGGACAATAAAACTCGAGAAACGTAAAAACCACGTAATTTGACCTAGGTAAATAGTTCAATTAGTATTTGTATTTGATTACAAATAAAACCCTTCCTCAAGGGAGGACATGATACATTGTAAATAATACATTAGTTATTTAAAGTTGGAAGAGCCATTTGAATCTAATATAAATCCTAAGTGTTGAAGTTGACATTGACGGCGTGCGTTGATCTTATAAGTGATGATGTGTGTTGGCATTTTTAGTGGTGATGAAGTCGAGAGGTGTTGGAGTAGGCATGCGATAACGATCAAAATATTGTAGGTATGTGGATCATGGTTGTGGCTGGAAAATGGTAGTTGAGAGGTGGTAGTCAGAGGATCGTAAACGGGCAATGAAGATTGGATGGCCATAGTCAGGCAAGACTAGTTTGAAGGATTGTAGTTGGCATGTGAAAGAGGGTGGAGGGTTATAGTTGGTGAGTGATGGAGTTCAAAAGAATCGTAGTTGGTGGGCGATGGAGGTCGAACGACTGTAGTTGGGGGATAGTGATCAGAGGACTGTAGTAGGGTGATGTTGATCAATGGAGTGTTGTTTGTAAGTGCAAAGGTTGAAAGAAACATATTTGGGCTACGATTATCTGAGGATCGAAGTCGAGCAATGTTGGTCTGAGGATCAGAGTCTTAGGAATGGTGGTTGTAGGACCATAATCGAGTGGTAGCAGAGGCCGGACGATTGTTGTTGGTTAAAAGGCGACGCTGGGGTGGTGGCTTGACGTTGGTGCTTGGGGGTGCTATGATATTCTTTGAGCCTCGAAGCTCTTTTAAATCTCAAGCCAAAGTTCAAGCTCCTACTCCTTTTATGTGGAGAGTGAGAGTTTATTTATTGATTTTTTAGAGTGACATGCATGTAAATATAGAGAAATTTTGAAATGCTTCATTGGACGCTCATATTAATTCCGCTGATCACAAGAACAACATTTATGCATCTTAATAAGTCGTAATTAAGCTAAGTTGTATTCGTTGGATTCATCTCGTCGAGCTGCTCGATTAAACTATAAGCTTGTCAACTTTCGAGATCATTTGGTCATCCAATTAACATTTTGAACTTTTTAATTATGTTTTAGGCCTTTTAATCTAGATTCATTCTAGCTCGAATTTGACCGTTTTTTGTGTTGTTAGGTTTATCTCGTCGAGACATTCCTATAAATTTGTTCAAGTAGGAATTTAATTTTAGAAGTTTCTAATGTAAATATGCCTCATGATTCGTGTCCGACCAAGATATTTTTTGATGATATATCAAATATTAGTATTAGAAAATAATTTTTTTTTGGAAAAATATTAGAAAATAATTTTAGTAATAAGTATATCAGTTAAATAATATTTAGAGAGCGATTGGAAAATAATATTAGTAATATTTATATCAGTTAAATAATATTTAGAGAGCTATTTACAAAGACAGCTCTCTGAGTAGTTATTCCTTACATGAGTTTTTTCATTGGTGTAGTCTTCATCAGTCATAGAACAAAAAATAGGAAATTTATAATAAAATCCCA